TGAAATTAGGGAGACAAACTGGACTGGTGCAGTGTCTGGGTAAGAGCAGGTGGTGACTTGGACTGGGATGGTGGCAGCAGAGATAGTTGGAAGTACACTTGGTGGGTAGAGATGACATGGTTTGCTGATGAACTAGACTGGCTCAGGGAGGAGTGAAGAAAAGAAGGAGATCAAGGATGTTTCTCTGGTTTGAGCAACTGGGTAGACAGGGTGTCATTTGCTGAGCTGAAGAAGCCTGGTGAAGGACAGTTTTAGATGTTGAGGCTGAGGTGCCTGTGATACTCCAAGGGGAGGTGTCAAGCAGGTCTCTGACTACAGAGTTTGCAGGAGAGGTTTACGCTGAAAACATAACTTGGAGGGTCATAGCATATAGACGTTTTTCAAAATGGGGGCAGTGGATGAGCTCACATGAGAAGAAAGAGAGAGAAAAGGAGAATACTATGGAGATCTCCATATCTAGTGATCAAGAAAAGGAGGACAAACAGGAAAAACAGGCAGAAAAAGTGCAGCTGAAAGGAGGAAAACCAGGGGAGGGTAGTATTGTGGAAGCCAAGAAAGAATGTTTCAAGAAGGCAGGAATGGCCAGCAAGGCCAAATGACACTAAATACAGACTAGTAGGATAAGGATGGAAAAGTGGCCGCTGGGTTTGGCAACATAGCGTTCTAGACACCTACCTAGATAAGAGGAATTTCAGTATACTGATAGAACTGAAATCAGGCTGGAGTATGTTAAGGAGGAACTGGAAAAACGGAACATAAATAGACTCATAATCATCATAAAAATTAAGTCAGTAGCTAAAAATCTATACTTTCCCTCTCAACAAATGAAAAACACTAGGTTTTTCAGACCTTCAAGATATAGATAATTCCTATCTTACATAAACTGTTCCAGAGAACAGAAAAGAATAATAGAAAAGACGGGAAAGCGCCTCAATTTACTTTATGAGGCTCTTACAACCTTGTTACCAAAATCAGACAAAGATTATTATATGAGAAAGAAAAATTATAGGCTAGCCTCATCTCATTTACAGAGGCAGATATCCTAAAAATATTAGCAAATCATGGAATCTAATTTAAAAAATAATAGACTCAAAAACCAACTAATGGTTACCAAAGAAGAAACATGGTGGGGGAGAGATAAATTAGGAGGTTAGGATTAACAAACACACACTACTATATATAAAATAGATAACCAACAAGGACCTACTGTATAGCACAGGGAACTCTATTCAGTATTCTGTAATAACCTATATGGGAAAAGAATCTGAAAAAGAATGAATATATGTATATGTATAACTGAATCACTATGCTGTACTCCTGAAACTAACACAGCATTGTAAATCAACTATACGCCAATAAAATTTAAAAAAAAGAGATACGATCTATACAGCTATACCTGTATCTATAATGGAATACTACACAGCCATAAAAAAGAATGAGATAATGCCATTTGCAGCAACATGGATGGAACTAGAGATTATCATACTAAGTAAGAAAGAGAAAGACAGATACCATATGACATCACTTATATGTAGAATCTGACATATGACACAAATGAACTTATCTATGAAACACAGACTCACAGACATAGAGAACAAACTTGTGGTTGCCAAGGGGGATGGGGGTAAGGGAGGGATGGATTGGAAGTTTGGGATTAGCAGATGCAAACTACTATATATAGAATGGATAAGCAACAATGTCCTACTGTATAGCACAGGGAACTATATTCAACATCCTGTGTGATAAACCATAATGGAAAAGAATATGAAAAATGATGTATATGTATAACTGAATCACTTTGCTGTAAAGCAGAAACTAACACATTATAAATCAGCTATACTTCAATAAAATAAGCTTTAAAAAAATAAAAAAGTAAATCAGCAAATCGAATCCAACAATATACAAAAAATAATTCATCACAACCAAGCAGATTATAGCCCAGGAGGCGAAGATAATTTAACATCAGAAAATGTATTACTAGTTATTAACACAGGAAAGAAGAATATAGTGTTATCTCAATAAACTTAATAAGCATTTTATAAAATCCAAAATATACACATTTATGATTTTAAAAAAAGCAACTCTTAGTGAACTGGGAATAGAAAGAAACTTCCTTTTGCTAATAAATAATATCTATCCAAACTTGCAATAAATATAATACTTAATGGTGAAAAGAAGTATTCTCTTTAAAGTCAGGAATAAGACAAGGATATCCACTATTGCTGCTCCTCTTCCATAATAAAACAAAGGACAAGAAAAAGTAATAAAAGTTGTAAAAATAGGAAGAAACAACACCATCATTCACTAAAAAAATATGATCGTACCCAGAGAAAAATCTGAGAGAATCTAAGATAAACCATTGTAATTAATGTTAGCAAGGCTGCTGGATACATTCTCAAAATACAAAAATCAGTAGTAGTCCTGTATACTAGCCACAAAAAAGTTGGATGATGTAATAAAAAAATTTATAACAGCAACCAAAATGGTAAGCTACCTAGGACTAAGTATCTAATAAAAGATGTGTAAGATCTTTATGAAGAAAATTTTAAAACTTCACTGAGGTATGTTTAAAAAACAGACAAAGCATATAAAGAGATACCATGTTCACAGTTAGAAAGACTCAATATCATACAGCTGTCAAATCACTCAGATACAGTTCATAAGTCCAGAAAAGCCAAAAGAGTTCTGAAGAAGGATCGTAAGTAGGAGCCTCACCCGACCAGATATCAAGAAAGTTGGGGAAATCTTCCTTTTCCCTTGCTATGAAGGAACATGATTTAAAGAGTAACGCTCCTGGCCTCTCTCCATCCTCCCACTCGCTCTTAGAGGAGGAGGGCCTTTTCTAATCAGTGAATTTAGAGGGAAAAATAAAACCTGGCTATTCTTGGCTTAGCCCCATCTGGGTTCTTGGAGGAGTCACCTGACAACCCTCTATAGTATAGTTAAGGGCCTGCCTCTGCGGGGAAAGCCTGAGGTTCTCCAGTTCACATCGTGACTGCAAAAGTAAGTTTAATTTTGAGTGATGTCTTTGCAAGCCCTTTTATTATACATCTAAAGCCACTTGGAAAATGCAGCTTTATCAGTAATAAAACTGACATTTTGATTCCTATTAGTCTGTCTCTTGTATCTCCTCTCTCAAGTGGTTCCAAATGTCAGAGGGAAGAGAGATGCTCAAACCTCAATAAGACTTATAGAAATTACACCTTATATTAATTAAAAATGTGGTACTAGCCTATAGATAGACAATAAAACGATGAAGCAGAATAGGGAGCCTGGAAACAGATCTGTGTGTAAGTGAACTTGATGCATGAAAGAGATCGGCGTTATCAACAGTGGACAAAAGAGTCTTCAATAAATGACACTGGGACAATCTGCTGTCTGTACTGAACAAGATTCATTTTAGTTGATTAATCAGGTGGTGCTGTGAGTTGCCTCTTTTTTTGATCATTTTAAGTTATTTACCATTTGTGTTATAAAACCTTTCATGAATTATATACCTTGTTTCCAACTAGATGACAAATCCCTTGAAGGTAGGGCTTAAGCCTTATACCTCGTTACCTCCAGAGTACCTATCACGGAACTTTACACTGACAATGTTAAATACATGCCTGCTAGCTCACTTTTTAAATTATTCTTATCATTACTATTATTGTTTTACATTAAAACTCAGTTCCTAGACCTCATTCCTCAGGGCATACAGGTCCATATCAACACGAATTTTTTATAATTATTTTGATATTCTGAGTAGAATTTTTTAAACAATTGTGTATTTGCTTAACAGAAGTCCTATCTAAAGTCAAGACATCCAGAATTTGCATTTTGAAGATCATGAGACAGAAACAGAAAACGTCAAAGGTAAATCATAGATGCCACTTTCTTGTTCTCCTCAAGGCCTATCTTGATGACACAGAAGAAACTGAAACTATGCTTGTACTTTCCTCCCCACAAATTACTTCTCCACCTACCATCTCACTTCATCCTCACCACAAACCACTGAGATGAGCAGAGCAGGGATTACAGATGAGGAAATACGTTTCAGAGAGGCAGGAGTTTAAATCCACACAGCAAATCAGAAAATTGAAATGGCAAGGTTACATGGATAACTTATTTATTTGAGGTTTTTAAAATAGGGTGTTACACTGTGATAAAGGTTGAACAATTTGGCTTGAATAAAGGAATCTCAAAACTTAAAAAAACAAAAATTCACATAGGAAATCAAAAAAGATCTGGGATCAGAAGCCAGTGCTCTTTAGAAGAAACCGTGCTGTTCCCAGCTGTCTAACTAAAGGCCTGATATGAACTCATGTGATTTTGTAAGTCATTGCCCATCATCCAAGGATTCGAATTACTAAATGACTTGAGCCGACAGCTTTCCACTTATTTAAGTCGAACGAATCATCTAATGTTTTCTTTGCATCACTTTCCCTCTCCCCTTGTCTTTGGAAGAGGGTCATGTCCATCCTGACAAAGCACTTTTAGGCAGCAGCTTGCCCTCATGGCACAACAGGCACTGACATCACATGTGAGAAACGTTCCAGCATGTGTGTGTCTCTTGGTCTCAGACTAGGTCCTGACAGCCTGACCTATTCCTTGTGTGCTTTCTTCCCTTCACTCTCACAACCACTGATCCTGATGCTTATTCTGTCCTTCGCTTGTTCTTTGGAAAAGTCCTGGGGGCTCCATGTCCCCTTTTTACGAATCACATGGCTATCCTCTAGTCTCTGCTTCAGCCAAGCTCTCAAGGATTCCTTGTCCCGCCAACCTTCCCATGTCCAAACAGCACCCCTTTGAACTCACCCCCCTTCGTGGGTGCTTCGCCCTCTTAGCCAGACTGGAGCTTAGACCTACACAAGTACGATGGCTGCCTTTCCTTTTCTTCAGATATCTTATTACAGAAGAAAACCCAGAAGGAAGCTGTGGAGCGATGTGGAAGTCAGGCAAGTTTCTCAGGATTATTATCCACATTGCAGTTTCTGGGTATGAGAGATAAAGGTACTCACCACCTGACCATTAGTCCGTGCTCCATGAAGTTTTTCAGGTTAGGGAGGGTTTGCCTCAAGTCTGGAGTCCCTAGTCCATGTTGATATCTTAGCTGCAAAGGTGGAAAAACAGAATTAAAAGAAATTTTGGCAGATACTAGGCAATGCTTCCCAAACATGATTCACTAAACAAGTCCCCCCCCAACACAATTTTAAACGCTGAAAGAGGAAATGTGAGTGTATGATCCCAACATCATCAACCTCACTTTTTGGATGGTGTTTAAAGGTAGCCTCCTCATTTCCTGCTCCCTTGCCCTCTAACGTTGGAGAAGACTAAGAACCACCAACTGTGGAATCAGGATTATTTCCAAGACCCCCGTAGAGTTTGCTAACATCAACTCCAGGGACATATACCATAAAACCAGTATTTCACTTTAGGGACTGAACGGTGGTATTACACACTCTGAGCACATTCAGCCCTTTTTACACTGACCCTTTTCCCTTTGTAGAATCAAGAACAAGGGTCATGCTGTATCCATCTCTGATCCCCAAGTGTATGACACAGTGCTAGCGCTCAGTCAATGCTTATTAAACAAACAGCAAGTCACTTTTGACAGAGGCTGTGCTTTATGTTATTTCTCTTGTGCCTCTAACTTTCCTCTTTCTCTAGGACCAGAGTAGAGAGCTATAGAGCTAGTATGAGGAAATTATGGCCTGTGGGCAAGATCTGCTCTTAGCTTTACTTATTTCTGCTAGAGGCTGATTTTCTAAAATTATGTGTCCTTCTATGTGCCTTGGGTAACCTACTAAATGGTTTTAATCTGTCTGTTCCCGTCTCCTCTCATTTTGTCTCTGAAGACCGTTTGCTTCCTTCACTAAACATAATAGAGACCCGAGGTAAGGATATGTGCATATTCATACACATGCTCACACACACAGCATCAAATACACAGTAAGTATACAACACAGCCCTGCAGAAATGTATTTTTCAAATGACATGATATATATGAGGAAAGGACTCTGTAAACTGCATACTGATGTACAGATATGAAGGGTCATCTGTATTGAAGTTTTACTTTTCTAGCACCTAATTTAAAAGTGGCTAAGTTAAACTTTTAAATATTTTTCTCTTTTAAAAAAATTAAACCACTATCAACAGAAAAAGTAAGTTTTCTTTTGTTTGTATCTAGTACTCTATTGACTTTTCACTTAAGTGTGAGTGACATTTAACAGAGAAAAAGTTCACTCTCACTACACTGAACTTTAAAAAGAAACCCCCAAACCTAATCAGGTCTCTTGAATGGTCTGAATACACACATAAAATAAGGAGGCAGAAACATAGAATGTTAAAGCTAAAAGGTATCTTGAATATTATTTAAGCTAATCCTTTTCTTGTGCAGATGGGAAAACTGAAGCCGAGAGAAAGAGCAAGGAAATTCTCCAAAGCCACATGTTTCAATGGCAAAGACATTATTAGTCAGAGTCTCCTTTTCACAACCATGCCACTTACACCAGCTACCCGAAAGTCTAAGAGGAAAATTGGTTGAAAAAAACCAAAAAACCAAAATCTTGAGAAGACAAAGGGAAAAACATTCTTTTCCTTTTCCAAAGCTAGCTTGGTGACCTAAATCACCTCCTGAGATTTGCTGACCTTGAATTATGAGATCTCCTCCATATTAAATGACATCATTTCTTATATTAATATAAAAGCATTTTTTCCACACATTGATAAAATGGCTGACATCCCAATATGACATTCCTGAATTCATTGTTTCAATAAAAAAGTGAAATTGTTTACACATGGCATGAAAATTTCACCTGTGATTCATACTGAAAAATATTAAATATCAAAAAAAATAAAATGACCCCATACTAAAATAACACTAAGCTATGTGTCCCTGAGCCAGTACGTGGTCAATTGCCTGCCCCAGCCTCCACAATGGAAGGTGGGTGTTGAATTCTTTTCAGAGACCACAGTGAAAATTTCTCTCCAAGTCTGATTTCAACTAAAAAAGGAAACTGTGGGAATTTCAAGCCTCCACCCAAGTCTTAACTCTTATTTGTTGTATAGCATTATTATCTTTATCATAGACTCTTGGGATATCTAGCTTAAAGAGATCATGGAGATTATCTTTTCCAACCTCCATCCTTTCATAAATGAAGAAACTAAGACTCAGTAAGACAAGTGTCCTGCCCAAGGTCTCAAAGCTGTTAAGGGCCAAAGCCAAGGCTAGAACCTCTCAATAACAAGTCTGAATTCTTTCTATCATGTAGCCCTCTTAACTTTCAACATACAGAACTAAAATAGAAATTCATACATAATAAGAATATATGAAAATTTTAAAATAAAGTACACGTACTGTTTTAAGTCTAACCTACTGGAAAGGATTACAATGAAAAAGCATCAGTTCTTTGCTCTTCAGTAGCGACCACTTTTAGTTGTTTCTTCTTTACCTTCATATTTCTAAATAATACACTTACATTGATATTTCTTACTCTTTCCCCCTCGTTTAGACATCATCTACTATGTTCGTGCTACGTAAAATGAGAACTGAGCTCTTTTCTTAGCACATTTTATCTCCTTATCCCCGTACATTACCTACTGACTTCTTATTAAATATGAGGATTTAACTCTCCACTCTCCCAAATATACTTCTCATCCTCTCAAGCTATTCAATTATTTTTAAATATAACATTTTTTGTTAAATCAATATTTAGTGTTTACCTTATACCTACAATAATACTGTTCACTGCTAAGCCATATAGTGTACTATTCCTTTTTTGACCTTTTGTTTGTTTTTTCTGAAGTGATAATTACCATTTTCCCCACTTGTTGAGTACCTACCTTGTGGATAGTACTACTTGTTGAGTATCCACGTACCTATCACCAGATTTTCCCCCAATTAGGACAAAACCTTAAATCCTTCCCAATCTGATTAAAGACACAATATAATCTATCAAGCCCATTTCCCCGCTTGGAGATTGTTTCCTGAAGCACCTTCTCTCTGCTCTAATCTGAACAGGCTGCTCTCTAGGCTGGTTCCATTGTTACCTTCCTAGAACTTTCTTTCACCATAATCCTGGAAATTCTGTTTACAGTCATCCCCCTGTATCCCCAGGGGATCAGCTCCAGGAGCCCCTGCAGACACCAAACTCTGTGGATGTTTAAGTCCCTCATATAAAATGGTGTTGCATGTACAATGAACATAGTCAACCCTCCACATCCAGGGTTTTGCATCAGTGGATACAGAGGGCCAGCGGTACTTCTGTGCTGAGGCTCTTGTTTCCTAGATCTCATCACTTCTTTCTTGATTTACTGCCTCATTTTGGTGGAGCATATTCTATAACAGCTTTCTGGGAAAGGGCCACATGAGAGGTATCTTTTTTAACACCTTGAATATTTAAAAATACCTTTATTCCATTCTCACACTTGAATGATAGTTTCCTTGCATATAAAATTCAAGACTGAAATGATTTTTCCTTTGGAATTTCTGAAGTATTGTTTCACTGTCATTTAACTTTGCATATAGCAACTGAGAAACCAGATAACATTCTGATTCCTGATCCTTTGTGTGCGAGCTGATTCCTGTCTCTGGAAGCTTTTAGGATTTTATTCTTTAACCTCAGTATTCAGAAATTTCACAGTGATAAGCTTTTGTTTGGGTCTTTTTTTCTTCACTGTTTTTGATCTCACTTCAGTGAGTCCTTTGTTCTTGTTTTGTTTATTTCCTTCCAGTTTTATTGAGATATAACTGACATACGGCTCTGTGTAAGTTAAAGGTGTACTGCATAATGATTTGACTTACATACATCATGAAATGATTACCACAATAAGTTTAGAGAACATCTGTCATGTCACATAGACACAAAATTAAAGAAAAAAAATATTTTTTCCTTGTGATGGGGACTCTTAAAATTTACTCTCTTAACTTTCATATATAACACACAACAGTGTTAATTATATTAATCATGGTATATACTACATCCCTAGTGCTTACTTATCTTATAACTGGGAGTTTGTACCTTTTGACTACCTTCACCCAATTCCCACCCTCCCATCTCACCCCTACCTCTAGTAACCAGAAATCTGATCTCTCTTTCTATGAGTTTGTTTTTGAAGTATAACTGACCTACAACACTATGTTAGTTCCTGGTGCAAAACACAGTGATTCGATTATTTCTATACATTACAACGTGATCACCACAATGTCTAGTTACCATCTGTCACCATACAAAGATATTACACTATCACTAACTATATTCCCCACACTGTACATGTCATCCTTGTGGCTCATCTGTTTTGCAACTGAAAGTTTGTATCTCTTAATTACCCTCACCTATTTCACTCCTTCCCCCACATACTGGCCTTTCTCTGGCAACCACCTGTTTGTTCTTTGTAGCTCTGACTCTATTTCTGTTTTGTTATGTTTGTTCATTTGTTTTTTTTTTAGATTCCACATATAAGTGAAATCATATAGTATTTGTCTTTCGCTGTCTGACTTATTTCACTTAGCATAATACCCTCTAGGTCTATCCATGTTATTGCAAATGGCAAGATTTTGTTCTTTTATGGCTGAGTAATATTCCAATGTATGTGTGTGTGCACGTGCACGCGCGTGTATACCCCACATCGTCTTTATCCATTCATCTATTGATGGGCACTTAGGTTGCTTCCATATCTTGGCTATTGTGAATAATGCAGCAATGAACATAGGGGTGCATACATCTTTTCAAATTAGTGTTTTTGTTTTCTTTGGAAAAATACCAGACTTGAAATTGCTGGATTGTGTAGTAGTTCTATTTTTCATTTTTTTGAAGAGCCTCCAATACTGTTTTCCATAGTGGTTGTGCCAACAGTGCACAAGGGTTCCCTTTCTCCACATCCTTGTCAACACTTGTTATTTCTTGTCTTTTTAGTAATAGCCATTCTGACAGGTGTGAGATGATATCTCATTGTGGTTTGGATTTGCATTTCCCTGGTGGTTAGTGATGTTGAGCATCTTTTCATGTGTCTATGGGCCATCTCTGTGTCTTCTTTGGGAAAATGTCTATTCAGGTCCTCTGTCCATTTTTTAATCCGGTTGGTTGTTTTTTTGATTTTGAGTTGTCTGAG